TCAAAAAATGCCACTTTACAAAAATGCCACACTTTTGAAATCTTTACAAAAATGACACTTTTTCAAAATTATTTTTTCTTTATATTATTTATGTTTGGGTTAATTATGTTCTATTAGGGTTTAGTTTTGAGTGTTTATGAGATTTTTAGGTGTCAAAACAGTTTTTAGGATTTAGAATTTTAAGATATAGGCTTTATAAATCTATAATTAGTAGCATTTTTGTAAATAAACACCCCTAAGTGGCATTCTTGCAAATGTGCACACAAAAAGTGGCATTTTTGTAATTGCCCCATAATAATAATAAGCGTTTTAATATATCAATTTAAAAAAAATAGATGATATAGTAAATCTAAATATTATATTTAGTTAAACTTAATTCTGTAATATAATATATATTAATGGGTTTATGTTATAAAGTTAATAAAAACATATAGAGATTTTCACCATGGCATATAGTTTTGAATTAAAATGTTTCATTAGTTAATTTAAATGACATAATTCTTAAAACCCTCATTGAATAATACTTATGATTTTTTTCACCAATTGTCTATTCAATTAATATATAGAGGATTAGTGGCATTTTAAAAAAAAAATTTAAATGATGACATTTTTGAAAAGTGGTATTTCTAAAAAAAATCTCTACATTTTATCTAAGTATCATGAAAATTAAATTTTGTAAAATAAAATATATTTATCAATATATTTATCTATACTGGAGATATATCTTTGTTATTTTTAATTTCTCCTGTATATTAAAAAAATCATGAATTTTTTTTTAAATATCCTAACACATGTCAAAAAAATCTAATAGTCATTGAAAAAAAGATATTTTCACGTACTTTATATTCTTTAAATAAAATATTCCGTATTAATTATCACATATTCCTTGTTTTCATATTTGTTTAATAATTATATATTGTATATATGATATAAATTTAGTCTAATTATTACACAATAATATCATTAAAAAAATTTAATAGCTTTCATTAAAAATTGCTTAAAATCCTTTTTGGATGACACCAAGGATTGTCACCTAGTGTCTCCTCTATTAATATATAGAGGATAATTTACAATATTTAATATTCCGCACGTTAAAAACAAATAATATAAATTAGTCTCTTACAAAACAAATCTTACAAAATAAAAATGATGGGTTGGTAAAAATGGAACAATTTGTGAAATATATCTTGTATATCTACTAAATTTAATTACAATTATCATCACATCTTCGATCCATCATTAGTTCGAATTTCAATCATAACGCATACTTATGTAACCTATTTTGGGGCAATTACAAAAATACCACTTTTTGTGTGCACATTTTCAAAAATGCCACTTAAGGGTGTTCATTTACAAAATGCCACTAATTATAGATTTA